CCTTTATTGGATAAATGGTTTGTAAATATTTTCTCTCTTTCTGTAGGATATCTGTTTGCTCTGTTGTTTATTTCTTTTGCAGTTCAGAGGCTTTGTAGTTTAAGTTCCATTTGTCTACTTTTGTTTTTGTTGCATTTGTTTTTGAGAATGTGGTCAGAAATTATTTGCCTAGGCAAATGTCTAGAAAGGTTTTTTGTATGTTTCTTCTAAGACTTTTATAACTTCAGGTCTTACATTTCTGTCTTTAATTCATCTTGAGTTAATTTTTGTATATGGTGAGAGATATGGGTCAACTTTCATTCTTTTGCATGTGGATATCCATTTTCCTAGTACCAATTATTGAATAGGGTATCCTTTCTGATACCAGTTACTATGTCTATTAAGGAAAAAGTCAAAAAAACAACAGATTTTGGTGAAGATGCAGAGAAAAGATAATGCTTATACACTGTTGGTGGGAATGTGTATTAGTACAACTTCTATGAAAAGCAGTATAGAGATTTCTCAAAGAGCTAAAAATACAACTACCATTTGATCCAGTAACTCCCCTACTGGCTATGTACCCAATGGGAAATAAATCATATCAAAAAGGTATCGGCACTCATATGTTAATCACAGCACTATTTCCAATAACAAAGATATGAAATCAACCTAAGTGTCTGTCAATCGATGACTGGATAAAGAAAATGTGGTGTGTGTGTGTGTGTGTGTGTGTGTATCCACATATATATGCACATACATACACACACACATACATGCACACACTATGGAATACTCAGCTACAAAAATGAATGAAATTCTGTCACTCAGTAACATGGACGGAATGAAGACCATTATCCTAAGTGATATAATCCAGAAACAAAAAGTCAAATATCATATGTTCTCACTTATAAGTGGGAGCTAAACAATGGGTACACATGAACATACACAGTGGAATAATAGACACTGGAGACTCCAAAAGATGGGAGAGTAGGAGAGAGTGAGGGTTGAAAATGTAGCAGTGTGGGTGCCATTTTCACTATAGTGGGTATCCTAAAATCCCAAGTTGCACCATTATGTAATTTATCCATGTAAGAAGACTGCACTTGTACCCCTAAATCTCTTTTTTTAAGCATAAAAATAGATGACACAAACAAATGGAAAAATAAGCCATGCTCATGGATTGGAAGAATCGACATTGTTAAGATGTCCATTCTACCCAAGGTAATCAACAATTTAATGCAATACCCATTAAATTACCTGAGGCATTCTTCTTAGACCTGGAAATAACAATACAGAAATTCATATGGAAGCATAAATGACCACGAATAGCCAAAAAATCCTCAGCAAGAAAATAAAGCAGGGGCCGAGCATGGTGGCTCAAGCCTATAATCCCAGCACTTTGGGAGACTGAGGTGAGGGAATTGCCTGACCCCACAGGTTTGAGAACAGCCTGGGCAACTTGGAGCCTCGTCTCTACAATAAATCAAAAAATTAACTAGATGTGGTAGCGCGTGCCTATAGTTTTGGCTACTCAGAAGGCTGGGGCAGAAGGATCGCCTGAGCCCAACAGGTCTACATAGGGTGGCCCTTGAGCGTGCTACTGCATTCTAACCTGGGCAATGGAATGAGACTCCAACTCAGAACAAAGCAAAGCAAAAAAAAGTGGGGGAGGTATCACACTCCCAGACTTTAAACTTTATTATAAAGTTACAATAATCAAAACAGCCTGGTATTGGTACAAAAACATGCATATAGACCAATGGAACAGGATAGAGATTCCTAAAGCAAAGCCTCAATTTCTCAACCAACTCATCTTCAGCAAAGCCTCCACCACCAACCACTGGGGAGAGGAGAACCTATTCAGCAAATGATTCTGGGAAAACTGGCTGACTACATGCAGAAGATTAAAGCAAGAACCCTACCTATTATCATACACAAAAGTCAACTCTAAATGGATCAAAGACCTAAATGTAAAAACGCAAACTGTAAGAACCTTAGAAAATGCAGGAGATACCCTTATGGAAATTGAAACTGGCAAGCAATTCCTGATCAAAACCCCAAGCACCGGTGCCATAAGAGATAAGATAAACAAGTGGGACCTCATCAAACTAACAAGCTTCTGCAAAGTCAAAGAAACCATCAAGAGAGCAGGGAGATAGCCCATGAACTGGGAAAAAATATTTACCAACAGTATATCTGACAAATGCATAACATCTATGATCTACCAGGAACTCAAACATCCCCAAAAGAAAAAAAAAACAGATATGAATAAACACTTATCAAAAGAAGTCATACAAGCAGCCAACAGATACATGAAAAAATGCTCAGCCTTAACTAGTCATCAAAGAAATGCAAATTAAAACCACACTGAGATATCACCCAACGCCAGTCAAGATGGCCATCACCAATAATTCAAAAAACAACGGATGCAGGAGAGGATGTGGGAGAAAGGGAACACTTCTACACAGTTGGTGGGAGCGTAAACTAGTACAACCTCTGTGGAAAATAGTGTGGTGATTTCTAAAAGATAAAAAAAATTACCTTCCATATAACCCCACAATCACCCACTGGGAATATACCCAGAGAAACTCAAATCACTCTATAAAAAAGATACCTGCACCTGTATGTTTATTCCAGCATTGTTCACAATAGCATAAAAATGGAACCAACAGTGCTGCCCATCAAAAGAGGACTGGATTTTTAAAAATGTGGTACATATACATGATGGAATATTACACAGCCATAAAAAAGGACAAAATTATGAACTTCACAGCAACTTGGATGGACTTTGAGTCTATAATTCTGAGTGATCTATTACAGAAGTGAAGAACTGAGTACCATATGTTCTCACTCATAAGTGGACCTTGAACAATTATTGTAGTACTATAAGAAAAGGATCGGCAGTAGTAGGAAATTGCTGGGATGGGAGGATGTGATTGGCAGTAGTGGGAATCTGCCGGGGGGCGGGGCACACCTCATCAACAAGGGTCCCTGCATTATACACATTTGTATACCTAACCCTAAATTGTACCCCACATCTTTAAAATAAAAATTATATTAAAATATATAAATATATAATAAATATTTAAGAAAAGATAAAGTCATAAGATTGCTGCTACTAGACTAGTGGTAGTATCTAATCTTGGGAGTGTTAGGAAAGAAGGTACTAACGATGTTGGAATAAATTGAAGTAGTAGTTCTTTGAAGAAATGGAGGCACTAAGGGGAGGCCAAATTGAAATTTTATAGATTTAAGGGGAAACTGGATCAACACCCAGTACTCTGTTCTCAGTGATACCTGGGTCACCTCCCAGATAAGACCTCAGAAGGATCATAAGAGTCAGAACAGAAAATTGTTGTCCATCTTGGATACCTACATCAAGCTAAGCAGAAGTTGCACTATGCCTAGAGCTTCAAAAAGAGGAATGTGGAGCCACCTATGGAGGGAAAACATTTTAATTCTTCTGGATCCTTGGAGAGAATTCTGCACAAAGTTAATGAATATTTATTTTCTTACTCTCTCCCCTACAAAACACTAGGGACTTAGTTGCAGAGTCTCAGAATATACTCCTATGAGGAAAGAAGGGATTATGAATATCTATAACTTGAGAATGAAGGTAAGAATCCAGGAGAGGGAGCATTCAGAATCAAGAAGCATTAGGAGATTTTCTACAGTTAGACACCTTTTTGTATGCTGTTTCTTGGCACAGGTCTTCTTTTTTGTCTAACCACTTCGTAGAACAGAAATGAGAGGTATGAATACCTGAGGTAAGTCATCAATGTCCTTTGTAGGTAAGAAATTGACTTCAAGAGTACCTCGCAAGAAAGTGGAAATATTTGATCTCTGGGAGATGATTAGTTATCACTGGTCATTAAATAAGAAATCTAATCTATATTCATGCTAGGCACAGATTGTCTATATTTATTCTCTAACGTTAATCTTCCTTAACGCCAGTCTACTTCTCCTGACCTTGGGATATGAATTATCAGCCAAAGAGTAGGGAAGAAGTTTGAGGGACAGTTTTCTCACACAAGTTCACTCCCTCTCCCTCACGTTCTCTTCTCCCATTTTTCTTTTTCCTGTAGCTGTTCTTTCCCCTATAACATTCAATTCAATGTTCTTTAGGTGATTTTCCTGCTTCCATTATACTGATGTGGAAAGAAATATCTCAATTTAAAAGAGCAGCTATTTATCAACCACAAGCAAGGTGAGTTAACCATATTATTATTATCTGGATGTGGTTTAGCCACTGGTAATCTTAATCAGAAGATGACCTAAATCTTATTCAAAGTCTGCATCTGTGGTTCCTGTGATTATCAGCCACAGAGTAAGGGTAATGAAAAAGGTCTCGGGGTCTCTCTCTCTCTCTCTCTCTCTCTCTCTCTCTCTCTCTCTTTCTCTCCATTCCCCCATTCCCCTCTCTTTCTCTCTCCCCCTTATATCTGTTCTCTATAGTTATTGCTAAGGGTTGAATATTTGTATCTCCCCAAAATTTTTATGTTAAAACCCCAATCGTTAATGTGGTAGTACTTGACAGTATTTGATGATGGGGAATTTAGAAGGTAATTAGGTCACTGGGTTGACCTCATGATAGAATTAGTGCCCTTACAAGAGAGATTGTGTCATCTCTCTGCTCTCTGCCATGCGAGGATACAAGGAGAAGAGGATCATCTGCAAACCAAGAAACAGGCCCTCCCCAGACACCAGATCTGCCAACACCTTGATCTTGGATTTCCCAGTCTCCTGAACTGTGAGAAATAAATATTTGTTGTTTAAACCACCCAGTCTATGATAGTTTCAACAGTCAGAACTAATTAAGAGAGATCTACCTCAAAGATTTTTTTAAGTGAAAATACACATTTGGTTGTGATTTTTCCATGCTCACAAAGAAAAACAAACATCGGAGTAAATGCTCTATTAATAACTGTTCAGTGTAAGAATAAAATGGAAAGATGCACGTTGTAGATGGCATAAGAACCAATAATTGACAGTGTTGCGTATCTTTAGGTACATACAAGTCCATGGAAATGTCAAACCTGACAAAACTCTCTGAATTTATCCTCTTGAGACTCTCCTCTCGCCCTCAGGACCAGAAGCCACTCTTTACCCTCTTTCTTATCATATATCTGGTCACCTTGATGGGAAATCTGCTAATCATCTTGGCTATTCATTCTGATCCTCAACTCCAAAACCCTATGTATTTCTTCCTAAGCAGCCTGTCCTTTGCTGATATTTGCTACACAACAGTCATAGTCCCCAAGATGCTGGTGAACTTCTTATCAGAGAAAAAAACCATTTCCTATGCTGCATGTCTGACACAGATGTACTTCTTCCTGGTCTTTGGAAACATAGATAGTTATCTCCTAGCAGCTATGGCCACTGACTGTTATGTGGCCATTAGTAACCCCTTCCATTATATTACTGTTATGAACCAAGGATGCTGTGTGTTACTACTGGCCTTCTCCATCACTTTCTCCTATCTCCACTCTCTTCTACATGTCCTCCTGGTAAATCAGCTCACTTTTTGTGCATCAAATGTTATCCATCACTTTTTTGTGATGTCAACCCTGTTCTGGAACTGTCCTGCTCTTCTACCTTTGTCAATGAGGTTGTGGTAATGACAGAAGGGCTGGCCTCTGTGATGGCTCCATTTGTCTGTATTATCATCTCTTACCTGAGAATTCTCATTGCTGTTGTTAAGATTCCCTGAGCAACTGGAAAACGCAAAGCCTTCTCCACCCGCAGCTCTCATCTCACTATAGTGACCCCGTTTTATGGGAGTATTAGCTATGTCTATTTTCAGCCCTTGTCCAGCTATACTATCAAGGACCAAATAGCAACAATCAACTATACTGTGTTGACATCAATGTTGAACAGATTTATCTACAGTTTAAGAAACAAAGACATAAAACGGGGTTTAGAGAAATTAATAAACAAGATTAAGTCTCAAATGGACGGATTTTCTTCTACAAAGGTCAATGATATCCATGAATTCTGACTGAAAGGTGTGTGTGTGTGTGTGTGTGTGTGTGTGTGTGCGTGTGTGTGTGGCCACACAACAACACAACAGTATCTGATGCAAGTCATTTTTGGAGAAATACTTTTTTATCAGTTGTAGTTTTCCATCTGTGGTCTCTGTCATCCAATGATTAGACAGTTAGGATATTTTGATACCTATGCTCCAATCATAAACTCACCCTATAATAGCTCTCCATTCCGGAAGACCACATTCCCTTTATTTGTTCCATACTTACTAGGAGTCTTCCATATTTCCTTCTATTTATAAATTCAGTCAAGTTTGGTCCCATATATGTGGTTTATGCACAAGTTTTGTTTGTGCACATGTATGTAAAAATTTGCATATTTATACATACATAGTCACTCTATTTAATTTGAAACTGCCAGAAATCTTTTGCAGGTAGGTTGGTGTGTGTGTGTGTGTGTGTGTGTGTGTGTGTGTGTGTGTGTGTGTGTGTGTGTGTATGTGTGTGTGACCTCCTCATCAGACTAAGGCCTCCCCAACAGTAGAATCATGATCAAAAAGTGTTTCCTGATCATGCCATGATAGAACTATAGTCCCTTCTAACTCTCACAAGAACTGGATAGCATGGGCTTTGGAGTCATAGATTCTCAACAACTGATACCAATCACCTAATTGACTCTTAGTAAAACAGCTCTATGCTTCTACATGTGTTTGGGTCTCTACTCTTCCCTGACATTTTCCAGAACTTCTTGCCTGTATGTTTTTTTTTTCTCTAGAGATGCCTATATTTCTACTGTCTCTTTTGTCTTTTTTTTTCCAGAATAAAAGGTTAACTCCATGGAATCATAAATGTTTCCTATGATCACTGGAGTAAGAGTCAAAAACTAATGGAATAAATGACTAGTAAGGATCTTTTGATTCAGAGTGCCTGATATAAAAGAGGCTCTCAATTTAGTTTGGGAATAAATTATATGACTTAAGAAAGCAGACCAGGTGCGGTGGCCCATGCCTATAATCCCAGTACCATGGTAGGCTGAAACAAAAGGATTACTTGAGTCCAAGAGTTTGAGACCAGCCTGGGCAACATAGTGAGACCTCATCTCTACCAAAAAATAAAACAGTTAGCCAGGTGTGGTGTCATATGCCTGTAGTCCCAGCTACTTAGGAGGCAGAGGCAGAAGGATTGCCTGAGCCCAGGATGTCAAGGCTGCAGTGAGCTGTGATTATGCCACTGCACTCCAGACTGGGTGACAGAGTGAAACCCCAACTCAAAAAAAACAGTTTAGTAATTATTTCTTTCCCGTTGTTTGTATTTTAATAGATTGAAATATCTTTATGGCTGCATAATAGCCCATTGTGTATATGTACCACATTATCTTTATCTAGTCCACCTTCAATGGACTTCACAGCAAATTGGATGGCGCTGGAGACCATCTTACTTAGTGATCTATCACAGAAGCAAAGAACTGAATATCGCATATTCTCACTCATAGCAGAACCTGAAGATTGACCACAATAGCACAAGAATGGTACCTGATCTCAAATCAGGCAAAGTGAGGACCAAAGAGAGGCCCAACCTTTACCTGTACACTTGTATACCTAACCCTGAGTTGTACCCCACATCTTTAAAATAAAATGTTTTTTTTTTAAAATAGCACAGAGGGGAGATTAGTAGTTGCTGAGCACTTGCGGGGGGAAGAGAGAGAAAGGGGGAGCATGTAACAACACAAAGGGTACCCAAGCCAGGAGAACTGGTGGCCAGTTGGAGATCCAAACTTCACCTGCATGCAGCCTACTTGTGTAGTTAACCCTTACTTGTACTCCACATCTTTATAAATAAAATATATCTAAGTCAAACAAATTGATCTTTTATGGTATTTTAGACAAGGAGGAGATGGATTATATTAAAGTGTTAAATGATAGAATACAATCTTGGTTCTAGTTATCTATTACACAGTGTGATGACCAGAGTTAACATTAATGTATTGTATATTTCTAAATAGCTAAAAGACGGAATTTTCTTTTTTTGAAAACAAGGTCTTGCTCTGCCACTCAGACTAGAGTGCAGTGGCTCAATCACAGCTCTCTATAACTTCAAACTCCTGGGCTCAAGCAATCCTTCCACCTCAGCCTCATAACTAGCTAGGACTACAGGTACATACCACCATGCCCAGCTAATTTATTTTATTTTTATGGAGACAGGATCTCACTATGTTGCCCAGGTTGGTCTTGAACTCCTAACCTTAAGCAATTCTCACACCTCTTCCTCCTAAGTACTGGGATTAAAGATACAAGCAATGGCGCTCAGTCAAAGAATGGACTTTAAATGCTCTCACCACAAAAAAAGATAAGCATTTTAAGTGATAGATATGTTAATTAGCTTTCTTTGACCATTCCACATTGTATACATGTATCAAAACATCACGTTGTATCCCACAACAATATACAATTATCGTTTGTAAATAAAAATAAAATACAGCTTTAAATCTTTTGAATTTTGCACTACACTAGGACACTAATCCCTAACATGGGGCAAAACAGAATTAGGATAAGGATATTGCTCAGTTTCGTTCCTTTATTACATGTATGGCAAATTAATTTTAGCTTCCATGCCAACTCTGATCATTGATAAGGATTCTTGCCTTGCTGTATTGAGAGGGCACTTAAATGCCTTCCACCAGGCTGAATGAAGAAGGTTGAATTAAGACCGATTATGTGCTATGGACAGGGTAGCAAGGGACACTCGTACATATAACAAGTGAATAGTCACCCGTACACCCCAAGACTTTGGTCATACTTTATTTCTATGCCTTCATTCCTATTGTTTATTTTTAGCCTTAAGCCCTCAATCTATCTAATTGCAGCCCAATTCTGAGTTTTTCTCAACCCAATCCAATAGTTTCTCAGTGACTTCTCTTACAATTCGGTCCCATTCATTCATTTCACATTTCTCTTGGCTACCATTGCTCCCTCCAAGTCCTGTGTTTAAATTCTCAGGATTTATGCAGCTTTTCCCTGACGTCCCTAATACAGAGTAGTTGTTTGTTTGGCTTCGTCTCTCCTGGTCCTGTGCTAGAATCTGTTGCTAACATCTGCCTTCATTCTATCCCTTGGTTACCATGGATGGTGACTAGGGCTTGCTTGGGGATGATCGACTGATTTTCATTACTTTTTTTACTCTCTAATCATGACCTAATGAAGATATCACCCCTTGACATCATGAGGTGACTAAATGAAACACACTTTTCCCACTGAATTAAAAAATATACAGTATTGTATGATAAATTCCAATATACACTTAAATCTATTTCTGAACTCTTTATTTTGTTCCACTAACTTAATCATCTGTACTTGTTAAAGCATTGTACTTGTGTTAAAGTATGATGTTTGATGGTAATAGCTTCTTTAAAACGTATACTAAGGCAATTCTTTTTCCTTTAACTCCTACTTTTATTTTTTAGTTGGGGTCTCACTCCATCACCCAGGCTGAAGTGCAGTGGCACACTTACGGCCACCCCAGCATCAAACTGCTGGGCTTCAGAGATCCTTCCGCCTCAGCCTTCCATGTAGCTGGAACTACAGGAGTGTACTTCCACACCCAGCTAATTTTTTTTATTTATTGTAGAGACGAGGTCTCGCCAAGTTGCCCGGGATGGTCACGAACCCATGGGCTCAGGCAATCCACTCGCCTCAGCCTCCCAAAGTGCTGGGATTACAGGCTGAGCCACCAAGCCCAACCTGAATCCTAACTTTTTAAAAATGCTATTGACAGTTCTCACACATTTATTTCTTTGTGTGAAATTTTTAAAGTGATACATTCATTTTTTCTTTTTACCAACTATTTTCATGCGTGGTATCAAACAAAAATTAGAAAGCTTGAATTTAACCATGTCCTTAGCTCTAGGGTAAGATGATAGATAAATAGATAGATAGATAAATAGGTAGACAGACAGACAGGCAGACAGACAGATTCTCAACCACTCTCATGCTATATATGCTAGATGACTATATATGGATTTATATGGCAAAATTGCACATGGGAATTTTTAAAACAGTGTTTTCAAAAAATTCATTGGGTTCTGATTGAAAAATTATAAAATATATAATCTGTACATTGTTTCTGAATAAAACTGCTTTTTATTATATTAGATTTTCTCTTCCAAGAAATTTTATATATTGCTTTGTATTCAGGTCTGTATTTAAGAACTGATCACTCTGTATTTTAAGCTTTGGAGTATGCTGTGTACATATTTAACCAGAGGAGAACTTTTCCCCAATCTCTAGGTGGTTTCTAGGGTACCATTTATGTTTCAATCAGCCCTAGGTTACCCAGATATCCCAAAATCTCCCCTTAAATTTATTTATTTATTATAAAGATGTGGGGTACGATTAAGGGTTAGGTACATAAACACCAATCATGCAGTTACCTTTGTTGATGAGGTATGCCCCTCCCTCCCCTAGCAGTTTCCCTCAACTGCCAGTCCCACCACCCCTCCCCTGACAATTTTCCTTAAAGTTATTATCCTATAAAAGTTATTTCCATTCCTATTGTCTACCCACTTCCATACTTTGATCCTGCCTACAAACTGAACACACGCTATGGTCATTTAGCATTTGCTTGACTGCCTTAAATGACAGGGAACTCACAGCATAACAGGGTCACCTATCAAATTGTTGGATATCTCCTATGTTGATCAGAAACTGCTCTCTGCTATGATGTCTTCAATATCTTTGGTAACTTTCAATGTATAGAAGTAACTAATTATTATGTTGCCAGTGTGTTGATCTTTTCTGTTCATTTCTATTCATTTAGAAATGCCTTATCCTCTAAAAATATATAGCATTCTATATTATCTTCAGTTCTATTCTTTATTTTTAACTGTTTTGTAGATGATTAAACAATAACTTTATTTTATCTAGACATATTCAATTACTCTGATACTATTTATTGTCATTAATTTAAATGCCATCTTTGCAATATTTTAAATGCCCATGTATATATTTACATCTTTCTG